TTAAGCCCAATTTGGTTTGGGCCCGAGGTGGGCTTAATAGCCGGCGACTACTCTACATGAATTGGCCTACATAATTATTTCAGTTTGTCCTGGACTAGCATTTGATCCTCTAGGAGTTTGATTTTACTTCGTTTTTACTGTGAGATGGAATTAAAAAACAACTTGCTCCTTTAGCCGTTCATATCGAATTCTAAATTCCGGAGATAGATGAAAATATATCTAAGTCCAGGCTCCACTTTTACAGATAAAACTCTTTGTGGTTTTCCTCATTATTACCTTTTGAGTCGAGTTACTAGCCTAGACTGAAAAGACCCCTTCGACTTGCATCATCATTCCAACAAATGTCCTCCTTGTGATTTCACAGCAATGTTGACCTTCCAGTATTTGTCTTCCTAACATTAATTTATGACGCCATCTACCTTCATTGTGTTCCTCATCTGGCGACTTTCTTGACTTTCGACAAAAGGTTGAAATCTGGTAATTTTCATCGCAATTTGTTAAGGTTCCTCACTTGTCTCTTTTATTCCACATGTATTTGACCTATTTAGCTTTTTAGTTCGTAGGTGAAAACTGCGATTACACTTAGCCACGTGCAGAAAATACGGTTATCAGACAAACGGAGGCTAAGTCCTCAAGTGGCCTTGTTTCGAACCTTAAGTTGCCATTGTATTCGGCATTTTTTAGATAACACATTGAGTGTCTTTCTGAGTCATATGACCCAGTGCTATCGTTTTAGACATGATTGATGCCAAAATTGTAATTTATGCGGACCATCAAATGCGCTTTTTATTTTTTATTCCTTCTGTGTCGGTAATATAACGCCTCTTTAGTAAATAACCTCGCAAATGAAGTTATGCTAATGTTCCAAGTGACTTAGCAGTAATTCAAAATAGTCTTAGGGAACATTTCTCCCGACCTCTTCATGTACGTCAACATGCGGACATTCAGACTTAAGCCTTTATCTTTTTTTCATTCTTGAACAGGTAGCTGCACGGTGAAATGGGAGAACAACACCATGTACTGCATCGTGACCTGCTTCGGCTTGTCCATATAGGGAAACAATCGAGAGGCTATCCGAGATAGGGAGTCTCTTTCTGTAAACGGTTATCTACGTGGTTCTGGAGGAATCTCTCAGGTCTGGACTAGGGTAACAATTTACGCGGTCAACAGGACACTCTCAGAACTTCT